GACTCAGTACTACCAGCCACAGTTGTGGGGCAGGGGCACACAGTCCCGGCTCCACCCCGGCCCTGGGGCAGGGGCACACAGCCTGGGTCCAGCCCCGGTGGAAGGGGCGGGGCACAGACCAAGCTCTAGCCCTGGAGCTGACAGCTGAAGTCGAAGAAGTCACAGAGGTCCGGTAAAGTCACAGAATCTATGATTGCCGTGACCCCCATGACTGATTTGTATCCTTAGCGATGGATTAACTCCGAACTATCTAGTGATAATTTACAAATATTACCATGAAGTAAAGATAATACAGCCTCTGCAGAGGAGTGGTGCCCTGAGACATCAGACTCCTGAAGTGTCCTGCTGTCCCTGTGTCTTTCCTGCCCCTCCCCTGCTTAGAATCATAGAACCAGATGGGTAGAGGGGACCGCAAGGGTCATCTAGTCTAACCCCCTGACAAGATGCAGGATTTGTTGTGTCTAAATCATCCAAGACATGCTCTCCAGCCTCCTTTGGAAAACCTCCAGTGAAGAAGCTTCCACAACCTCCCGAGGAGTCTGTTCCATTGTCCTAGTGTTCTTACAGAAGGAAGTTTTCCCTGAGATTTAATATAAATCTGCTGTGCTGTCGATTGAACCCATTGCCTCTTGTCCTGCCCTCTGTGGCAAGAGGGAATAATTTGCACACATTCCCACCTCACTGGTCTGGCAGGGCCATCATTTGTGCATGTGTTTAACGGTATGCATGTGTAAAGCCAGACATAAGCCTTTGCAGGATGGAGGACTTCGACTTTACTCTCTGGAGGGCAGGTCCTGCCAGCTGTATGCTCTCTGGTAAGTGCACTCCTGTGGACGCTATCACATTGTAATAACAACAACTCTCCCTCCCACATAGATCAGAGATGGCAGCAAATACTGGATTTGTGGAATTGGAATGTTAGATATTGAATATTGGCAGAAAATACTGGACTTGTGATCAGCAACGAGCGTACTCCTGCTAGAGCCGAGCATCACATGAACATACCTTTAGCTCTGGCAGCCAAGTCCCCTAGACCCTAAAGGGCCTTGGTGAACTAGCATGAGCCCCACTCTGACAAGACATGAGCTGGCTCCATCAACAGATTTAGTTGGCTACCATAGACAGCAGCTCAGAGGCCTGGCTAGCTCAGGGCACTAGTGACGGACTATAGAGCTCTCTGTTGCTGCGGAGTCCATAGCACTCCAGTCTAACGCAATGTAGTCAAGGGTTTGGAGGTGCTAAGCTCCCACTGACTAAGGGAGAGCTGGGAATGCTCACCATCTCTAAAAATCAGACCCGTAGTGACCAAAGCCAATGGCATCTGATAGAGGTTCATCAGTCCCTATATGAAATGAGTTGGGGGGGGGTCTCCATCCAATGACCAGCCAACTGTCTGTATCACAGAACTAGCAGTTCAATAATTTGTCCCTTTGCTGGCTGCCTCATGAGGGCATCTGGGCATCTGCTGGGCAATGGAGCTGGGGCCCCTCCAGGTGATGTGTGAAGCACATTGGCAGGGTGGTGTGTGGGGAGCTGGCAGTGCTGCTGCCCGCGTTGTACCTGCTCTGAGGGCACCGGGAAGCTCAGATAGACCAGCACAGAATTCACTCAGATGAAGAAACAAATCCTGGAAGCTGAAGAACTGCAGGTTCCAAGAACTGCTTCCTGGGACAGGAGAGAGGAGCTGTCCCTTCAGGATCTCCCTTGTACACATAGGCAGGGGCAGTGCTCTAAGCTGAGCTCCCCACACCATGGCCCTGCGGAGCTCCTGCTGGTGGTTGGAAGAGCTGGAAGGTCTGTGGTGCTGCCTCGCTTCCTTTCCAGCTCAAGCCACAAAAGAGACAGGGACTGTCAAGGCTAATTCCCCACTCAGGCACTTTGAGTGCAGAAGGTGGGGCCTGCAAGGATTCTATACATTAATACTGGCCACTCCAGGCTTGTATCAAACTCCCAAGGTTACAGCTTTTCTCTGACCTTGGATTGGTAGATGCTGCAACCACCCAAGTACAGAACCTCTTTGAGAGCCCAGGAAGGTATACTTGGGAATTCCTTCCTGTGGGGTACCCTCAAGCCCTTTCACCCCCACTCCAGGGAAGAGCTGGGAAAGGAAATCAGCTGTTGCCACCAGCTAAATAAACAACATGCACAAACCTCGTAAGACACACAAATCCAATTCTGTTCTTAAAAAAGATACATTTTATTAATTAAAAAAAAAAAGAATACATCTGGGAACTCAGACTATTGCTAGATTTTAAAAGAGCAAGTACAAGGATTAAGCACCAAGAATAGCTTTCTTGAGGTCCAGCTTAAAGGTTACAAGCAAAACAAAAGCACTTGGGGTTAGCATGGAGAGATCCACAAGCCATAATGAAATAAAAGGGATAAACCTAATTGCGTCTTCCTAGCCATTATCCTGATCTACTTACATATCTGGGGTTTCACATGAGTAGTTTCTAGGTATGATACTGATGATTTTTTCATACCTGGGCCAAGCTTCTTACAGCATAGCTGCTGCCCTATCTGCCTCTCCCTGGGAGAACAACAGACCGACAAAAGGGAAGTCTTTTTTCAATTTTAAAAAGTTCTAGCCTTCCCATTGGCTCTTTTGGCCAGGTGCCCACTCACTTCCTTTTACCTATGCATAGCAGTGAGACTTTTTAACCCTTTACAGGTAGAGCAATCAGAGAACAGCTACTAAGAGGGATTTTATAGCTTCTGGCTGGGTGGGTATCCATAAAAGGGAGCTACCTCCCACCCCTTCATTTATCACAGGGATGGGGAGGAGAAAGGAAGAGGAACAGGAGATAGAGGGCTTCTTCTAGTTGCGCTCACACAGCTCTAGTATTACTGTCCTAGAGGCTCCAGTGAGGCCCTTGCTCTAGGGATGTTGTGTGATTAAGAATAGGAGGGGGGATGGGATGGGCAATGGGGAACTGGATGAGAGGTGGGGGCCAGGCAGGGGGAATGGGGCCATGGGGAAGTGTGCCAGTTGGCGGGGAATGCAAAATGAGGGGTGGGCTGGGCCATGCAGAAAGGGAGGGGGTCTGATTGAGAGAGAACAGGAATGAAAGTGGGGGCCAGCTGCTGGGGAATGGAAGGGAAGATCAGGCCAGTGAGTGTGGAGTGGAAGAGGAGCTGTATGTGAGATCATCTCTCTACAGGAGCAGCGGGGCACTATACAGACAAATCTGGGAAGCTCTGCCGTTTCCTGGGTCTCTTTGTGGGGCTGACTGTATTCCGTGAGCACTGGTGTGTGTTTCTGTTGTCTCAAATAGTCTCCAGGTTGAAGCTTTCTCGGAAGTTGTCAGCAACTCTTGCTGATGCTTACAATATTTATACTGCTGTCAGAACAGCCCTCTGGGGTGGGGACTTTGCTCCTAATCACCTTAGCGTCTATTTGTCC